GAGACCCCCATGTAGTAGGGGTGAGGAGGGCCACCAGGCCCTGACCAGCTGTGGGATGGGGACAGAAGGCCTGGGGGCGCCAGGCAGCTGGGGAGGGGTCCTGTGCCCCCACCTGCACCCTGGCCCCTGGGGGGACAGACTCTGTGGCCTGCAGACGGGGGCAGGGGCTAGCCGGGCAGGTGGGCGGCCGGGGTTCTCCCACTCCTGCGCCCAGGCTTGAGGTCGGGAGAGAAGCTGGCGATGGCCACTGGACGAGGGTGGTGGGGGCGCTGGAGGGGCTGGGGTGGCCGATGTCAGCGCTGGCCTGGGGGCTGCAGGGTACGAGGGTGCAGGGCCCCTTGGGAGCCCATGGGGGCAGCAGGGCTGGCTCAGCAGCGTCCCCGTGTGCTGGGCCCTGAGGAACCCCCGGGACGCCCCCACCCAAGCTCCCAGCCCAGACCTGGACTGGCCACCTTGTTTCTTAGGAGTGAACCTGAGAGCGTCTGGTGTCAAGCCACCTGCCCCCGTCCAGGCAGCGGGAGGACCCCACTCTGAACGTGCCCAGGTGTGCCACATCTGGAAGCTTCCATGCCTGGCTCTTGGGCTAACACTGCTGGGACCTGAACGTCAGGCGGCCAGACACTGCCCCTCTACCCCCGGGTCCTCCTTGGGGCACAGGGGAGCCCGCCCCCTACCCCAGGAAAGGCTGGCCCCTGTCCCGCTGACTCCTCGGTCATCGTCTAGCCCGCGGTATGGTGACAAACACAAGACGCAGGCGCCGAAGGGCTCAGGGGACCCGACCCCGAGGCCCAGGTTCCTGTGACTCAGGACACACATACTCGGTCTTCAGACTTCAACCACACGCGCCCGGGATGGCTTTATTCGGTCCCACAGGCCCCCCTGCGGCCCCGGCCTCGTGAGGGGTGGGCCGACATCCGGCCTCAGGGGAGGGGCCTTTCTGGGGTGCCCTGCCTGTGGCGCCCGGCCACGGCCACGGCCACGGCCCACGCGGGGCAGAGCCCACCCCCAGCAGCGGCGGCCGTAGCTCTGGAAGATTTGTGCTTCGACTTGACACTGGAGGATGCGGTCAGCTGGGGTCCCAGGCCAACGGCGGGCAGCGACCTCCCCCACTCTGAGGGGGGCCCCCTTCATCCCCACCCCCGGATCGGCCAGGGCATCCAGCCAAGCGAGGCCACCACCCGGGTCCTTCCTGACAGTCACAGGCTGCTGGGCAGGGCCGAGTGGGGACGGGGGCCATGGGTGGGGCTCCCCTGGACGACCCCTCTGTGGGCTTAAGGCCGATGCGGGGCAGGGCGGACAGGCCCCCGAGGGCACTCCCGGGGCCGAGGGGAGGGGATGGAAGCTGCCCTCACCAAGGCACTCGGGCCGGACTCCAACACCCCTGCGCCCAGAGCTCCCTGAGGCTGCTGCTCCGGACGCCCGGCGCTGGGAAATGCTTGGCCGTAAATGCACCCGGGACAGGAAGGCAGAGGAGCCGCGGCCGCCACAGCCCCAAGAGCCGGGCCTCACTGTCCCTGGGAACAGGGGAAACTGAGGCACGAGGTCGGCAATAGCAGAGGTGCCTCGGAGCCCTGGCCTGGTGCGTCCAGCCATGCTTCCTCCAGCCGCGAGCAGTTCTCTCCATCGCCGACGGCTGACGCTCAGAGGAGGCTTCCAGAAGCAAGGGCCAAGTTCACGTCCACGTGCAGCAAACACAAGAGGCCAGGCAGGCCTGGCCTGTCTACATCAGGGTTTAGTGAAGGAAGCGTCTGGGCTGTGCCGTCTGCTTCCGGCTGTGCTCCGGGCGTCATGGCTTCGCCCGGTGGGGCAGGCGCACGGGGCAGCCGTCCTGCACCCCCTTCCAGAAGGACTGGCCCTGCAACATCGTCCCACCCCGTGGCGGCTGTCCTGTGTGAGGCGCTCAGGGTGGCGGCCACGGGGCCAAGGTCAGGGGCACGGTGCCCCGAGTCCAGGGGGAGCGGTGACCCCGAGAAGGGGCCTCCTGCAGACGGGCACTCGGGGATCCGGGCCCTTTAGAGAAGAGCAAACGTGGGGTCCGTCGGGTGGGGGCCGTCCTCCAGCCGTGCCCCCAGGCGCCCCTGCGGCCCGGAGAGGGGACACGCCTGGGAAGGGCGAAGAGAGGCCCCCTTCCTCCCGGCCGGGCACCGAGCCTGGTCCCAACGCGCCGAGGGCCGAGTCTGCGGGCGGCCACAGATGGTGGGGTCTCTGGAAGAGAGGGACAGGGCTCGTCAGGGCCCGGCGGGCTGTCCTCCAGGGGATAGGCCTCCAGCCCACGGGTGCCGTGGGCACTGGTCTGGGGCGCGCTGGCGGCACCTGCTCTAGACGCGCTCCATCTCCGGGTCCTGGTCAGGCTCCTCCTCGTCCTCGTCCTCGTCCTCCTCGTCGTCCTCAGCGCCCACCTTGTCCAGCGGCGCCTCGCCGTCCCGGGCCAGCTCCTCCACGTGCGCCAGCATGTCGGCCACCAGCGCCTCCTCCAGCCGCTTGCGGACCTGCTGCACCAGCTCCTCCTGCTTCCTGGGGCACAGACCCGCCGCTCAGGGCCCCGCCCGCCTCCGGGAAGCCCAGGGCCAGCAGGGAGGGACGTGCGGACGCGTGGGCCGGTCACCTCGGGGGCTGAGCGTCCCCTGGCCCCGGCCTGCAGCCCTCTGACACAGCCTTCCCGATCAGACGCCCCTGCTGGGCCCAGACCGGGGGCTCCTCGTTCCGGGACACACTCCACACGCCCCCTGGGGCCTGCCCGCTCACTTCTGCCGCTGCCCCCTCCCCGCGGAGACCCCTCCCTGCCAACATGGGGGCCACCTGCCCGCCCCGTCTAGTGCCTCTGAGCCTTCACGATCACGAAAGCAGGGTGCGCCGAGAGAAAAGACCCCGCCGGGGTAACAGGCTCTCCAGGAGGCGGCCTCAGGGTGGGGAGCGGCTCTCCCGTCCCCGAGGTCTGGACACGGCCGTCAGCCCAGTCTGCAGGCTGCCCTCCTGCCTGCACGTCCACTGGAACGGGGTGTCTGTCTCCAGTTCTGGCCAACGCCGGCCAGGCCCTGTCCCCGCGAGGCCTCCCCTCCCTCCCGCCGCTCCCGTTAGCCCTGCGGGGTCCCTCCCTCCGCACCGCTGGCCACTCCTCTCGCTCCAGACAGGACCGGACCCAGCGACTAACCCACAGTCTCAGTTTCCGTCTCAGCGGCTTTCCTACTTCTAGAAGTTCTGCCGAGCTTTACGGACCTGCCTGTCTTTCCCCACAGGCGAGCTCTCCTCTTACTCCCCCTCTCCTGGGGGCGCTCGTCCCGTGTGCCCACCACGCACGGGCACGGGGCTCGCTCCGCACCCACGTGGCTTTCCACTGTCCCGAGACAGAAGCCCAGGCGCCCACGACGCGGCAGCGTGGGCCCTGGAGAGCTCCTTTAGGCCCTCGCGCCGACGGTTTCAAGTCTAAAAGGACGTGTTTTATCCCGGTCGCACTTCCAGATGTTTCCGCTCGGGTGCCAGTTCAATCCACCTCTTCACCAGGAGGTTCCAGCCAACGGCCGCCTCCCGCTCTCAGCCCACTGGCACCTGGCACCACACACAGGGCCCGCCACACGGAGGCCCAGCATCCAGGCCCCGGGACATCCAGCTTCACCCCCACTACACCCTGTCCCTGTCACGTGCCACCCCCGCCACTCCGGGCCCCTCCTGTGCCCACCACAGCCGGCACCCCCAGCAGGCACATGGAAGGCCTCACGCCCTCAGGGCGGGCAGGGGCCACGCGGAGCCCGCCAACACGGGGGAACCGCCACTTTCTCTTCGCAAGAACGTCCCTGCAGAGCGGGACCCTGGGCTCCCTCCCACAGGGCACGTCTGCCAGCCCTCGCTGAGGACCCCCAGAGGGGCAGCGTCCCGACGCTCTCTAACAGTGGGACCCTCACCCGGCTACTTCTGCTCACACCCCGGGCAGCCACACCGCCGCCGGCCAGCGAGGGGGGCGGGCAGCTACCTGATGTCCTCGTCGGTCACCATGAAGGCCTTGCAGAGCGGCTGGGCCGTGTTGAGCCACACGCCGGGGTTCTTCTCCACGGCAGCCGAGAGCTGCCCGGTGATGGGCATGGTGCTGGTGTGCAGGGCGCTGGCAATGGCCGAGAGCAGGGTCTCGTCCGTGCAGCCGGGTCCCACACCTAGCAGGGCGCAGGGGGCAGTCACCAACAGGCCCTGGGCCTCCCTCCCGACCTCAGGTTTTCGTCCCCAACCCCCCGTGTGGGCCTGCGGTCACGGGGGACAGAGCAGCACAAGCCACGCGTTCTCAGCGATGGCGTGGCTCTGTGTTTATGGTGCAGGAGCAAAACCACACGGCCACGTCTTTCCGGGACCCCCCATGACAGACACGCCCTGCAGGTCCACAGCCCATCAGGCCGTCTCCAGGACCAGGAACCGGGGGGCCTCCCCGGCGGTCCACGGGGGAGGGAGGGGGGGCCCCTCCCCCGGCGCCCTGGCCACCGCCCCCTCCCGACCCCCAGGGCACCCTCACCTTGCAAGCCCTTGGGGAGGTCCATGGTCTGCACGAGCTCCTCGGCGATGTCGAAGGCGTTCAGGCCGCTCAGTTTCTTCTCCCAGAAGAGCTGCCGCCAGAGACACACGTGAGGCCACAGGCCAGCCCGGCCCCCACAACACGCAGCCCCGCGCAGTCGGGACGGTGGCGGTCTCAGTGTGACCTCTGACCCCACACTTGCCAGGGCTGCTCGAGCCCCCACTGGGGAAATGAGGGTGCGTGGACCCTAGGTCCGTACTCCTGGGCAGAGAAACTCCAGCCTTGATTTTCAGCAGGAGGACCACCCAGGACGTCAGACTCACCATCAGTGTGGACGGCGATGGTTCCCATGAGATGACCGTCCCTGCCACCTGGGTCTCCGACCCCACCGAGGGACAGCCCCCCACACCCTGAAGTCGGGGTGCGGTGGTCCAAGCCCCACCCAGGGCTGAGCTCAAGGCCCACCAGGGGGCCCAGGGGACACGGCCTTGGTTACCTCCTCCCACAGCCCGGGCACTGTCCACAGGTGCTGCCCTGTGCCGACAGGGGACCCGGGAGCCCCTGGAAGGGGCAACGAGCTCCAGCCCTCGGCCTCCACACAGGACCCCGGGGAGAGATTCCTGAGGCTGATCCCACACACGGGGGACACCCAGACACAGGTTTCTGAACTGCTACTTAGTGGCTACGACCCAAACGCCACCTGGGGGGCTGGTGACGGCAGGGGCCTCGCCCTCGGGTCCCCGTGAGCGTGCCCCCTGCCGGCCGCACCCTGGCTCTCTAGCGGGCATTTGAAAGGACGTGTGGAAACACGGTAAGTCTTGGTTTTTGAAAAGCAGGTTATACGGCTGCGCACACACTGCTATTGAAAACAACCCCCAAAACTGAACGACCTGGCCGAGGTGGCAGCCAGAGGGAGCCGCGTCCCGCAGCGTCCGCACGTGGCCGTGTCCGACTCACCTGCCGGGGCTGCTCCACCGCCTTCTGGGGGTCACTCTTCACCTTGTTGCTGGGGTGGTTGGTGATCTTGGTCACCGGCTGCTTGAAGATGGACGCCGTCTGCCTGACGGGGAGGGCCGTGTTCAGGTCGGGCTTGCCCTGCGGAGACACGCACGCTGGCACTGGGCCGGGTCCTCTGCGGCTTTCCCAGTCAGCGGAGAAAACCATCCCCGGGCTCCGGGGAACAGACCTCGTGGCCCTGGGTCACCAGTGCACCCCATGGCACCCAGGGATCCGGAGGGGACGCCAAGCCCACTGCCCGCAGGGGCCGTGGTCGGGGCCCCGGACGCATGCCTGCCCCGTCCTCGCCTCCCGCTCTCGTTCTCTGAGGAGTCCCGTGAACACGCGGCCATCAGAGACTGGGGCACAGCGTCCCTGGGCGCCCGCGTGTTGGGAGGAAAAGCCTGGCAGACGCACCTGAGGCGCCCGGGGCCCTCTCTCCACGCCCCTGGAGCTGCCAAATTCCCCGCCCCGAACAGCCATGATTGTAACACCAGGACAAGTACGCTACGAGAACAGCTCTCTTCCCACCAAGAGTGGACCGTGACGGCACGCCCGGCGCGGCGCGGCCCCTCCTGACCCGAGGGCGGCGGGCGGCTCACCTTGACCTGGCTGGAGGAGTCGTAGCGGACGCGCTGCCGGCTCTTGTTCATCTTGCCCATCAGCATCTTGCCCGTGCGGAAGTCGAAGGTGCTCAGGTCCATGGAGCCCCCCAGGTACCGTGCCAGCTGGGGCTTGCTCCGGAACTTCTTCCCACTCGGGCTGTGGAAAGAGGGGGGGTCAGCAGGGGGCAGGCTGTGGGGGGCCAACCCCCGCCCTGCCCCCAACGCCCCCTCCTGACCAGGACCCAGCGCAGCTGGGGGGCATGGGGCCCACCGCAGATGCCAACCCTGAGAGCAGGGATGAACGCCCCAACACAGAAGGATGGAGCCCAGACCTGGATTTCTAGAACGTTACAGAAACAGAAGGAGGCCGTGTTCTTGAGAAAAGACCGGAGGATAGCAGGTGTTTGAGAGACAGTCCCTAACAGCAGGCTCCTTCTCGTGGTTACAGCATGGGGGACCAGGGTCTCCGGGGGGCTGGGCTGTGAAATCATAAGACTTGGGGCCAGGACCCCAAACAGCCGCCCAGGCGTGGCCTGTTGGCAGAGTCGGAACCACCTCTCCAGGACACAGTGACGCCAGCCTACAGGGCTGCTGCGGGTGTCCAGTGGGGTGACACTAGAGTGCCCAGCACGGCACCAGGAAACGACAGCAACAGCTGGAATGTGACCTGGGGCAGCCACTGTGGAAAACAGTCTGGCAGATGTTCAAACGATTAAACAGCAATTCCACCCTTGGGTGTCTACCCGAGAAATGAAAACACGCGTCCATGCAAAAACTTACACCAAAATGTTCACAGCAACGTGGTGCAGAACAGGCATAAAGGGGAAACAGCCCAAATGCCCATCGATGGATGATGAACCCACACATGTCCACCCACACACTGGAATACGACACAGCCGTGAAAAGGAGTGATGCCCTGACACAGCCACACCGTGGATGGACCCTGAACACACGACGCTCAGTGAGAGAACCAGACACAGAACGACACACAGTGTGTGATTCCACTGATGTGAAATGTCCAGAACAGGTGCATCCACAGACAGAAAGTGGGTTTGTGGTCGTCAGGGGCTGGGGAGGGGGTGGGGAGTGACTGGTAATGAGCACAGGGTGTCTTCTTGGGGTGATGGAATGCTCTGGAGTTAGATAGGAAGACAGTGCACAACTCTGTGCAGATCCTGATAACCACTGACTTGCACTGTGGATGGGTGACGGTGTGAACTACAGCCCCACTGAGTTGTTAGAAAAACAGCACTCGTGTGGCACTCGGTGGGCCTGGTGCCTTTCTAAGCATGTTTGTGCCACAAACTCGAAACAGTCACTCTCAGTCACAGCTCATCTGTCTGAGACTGGCGAGGGGCTGGATTTTGTGTCCCCTGAAAACCTCGAGGACAAGCCCCTAATTCTAGCGAGTGCATGCTTGCCCCCTCCAGCCCGGCTCCACATGTCCCAGCACACGGCAGACGAGGGACGGGGGTACAGACGAG